CCCTTTTAAAGTAAGTTATTTTTATAAACTGTTTATAAAATGATTTATTTATTTGGCTTTCTTAGTGCCTGTATAGTGAAAAAGACAGTAATGATGTGCTATGTTCAACCACTTTGTCACTTTATTACAGAAACACAAATATGATCTGTTGACACTTTGATAAAGTAACAAAAATAATTAGTTTTATTATTTTCCCAGTCAGTTCATATATTAATATGCTCTGTTTTCCTGTGGGATGAGTTACCAACGCACACTGGGACATTTAATAGACTTAAATGCTGATTATAAAGGGAAGTATTCCCAAGTTTTTAGAACACAGTACCAGGATTAAGCAAAGTTAAAAGTGTAAAGAACATATTTAAACTAAACGTAAATACAGCTTATACACAGCACTTCTAATCTGTATGATGTAAAAATCGTTTAGTTTAATATTCATGTTTTCTTTTTAAATATTTAGTGATTCCCTTCTTCTTCCTCCTGTGAGACTGGTGGGGCAGCGCCCTAGTGCCCCCATGGAAGAGCCACTGCAATTACCCCATGATTTGGGGAGCATGGTGTTCCCTAATTTTATGTGTTATTACTGATAACTAATATCAACGCATGGCTGTTTGGGCTTAAGAGATGTTTTCATGTCAAATTGGGCATCTTTGGAGAGAGCCATGATTTTTTGTAGCTCTCCTGCTCCCAGCTGCCCTTCCTGTGATTGAAGTTAGTTCCGTTTGTGTGTGTGTGTGTGTGTGTGTGTGTGTGTGTGTGTGTGTGTGTGTGTGTGTGTGTGTGTGTGTGTGTGTGTGTGTGTGTGTGTGTGAACAGGCAAATCCCTGTGATGTAAATTTGCTCTGCACAAAACTAAGCTGGCTGATTGGTGGTGTTTAACGAGTAACCATGGCAACCAAGAGGTCTAGAAAATGTGAGTGTGTGTGTGTGTTTGTGTGTGTGTGCATGCACACACACTTGTATGTGTGTGTGTGCTCATGCGTGTGTGTGTGTCCGTGCGTGTGCATGCTCATGAGTGTGTGTGTGTGTTTGTGTGTGTGTGCATGTGCATGCTCATGCGTGCGTATGTGTGCATGCTCAAGTGTGTGTGTGTGTGTGTGTGTGTGTGTGTGTGTGTGAATGTGTGCATGCTCATGTGTGTGTGTGTGTGCGTGTGTGTACATGCTCATGCCTGTGCATATGTCTGTGTGTGTTAGGGGTTGTATGAACTAGTTGACTTCACTGCTCTGTAGTGACTTTTTATGCCTTTCATCGACTAGTCGCTGTCACGTGATAATGACCGGCAAGATGCAGTCCTCGGAAAAGACAGCAGGTGACGAGCTCCTGCGCGTTGGGAGGCGGAGGCGACGCGCTGTGCCAGAGCGTCGGTACTGACACCCGCCGTAAAATGGACATTTAACCAAATTGTGACCTTTACCCTCTTGCAATGTAACCTTCCCCTCACCCCCATCCTAACCTTAACCAGCTTGTGCATGCAAAGCTCTGATTGTTGACACGCTCCAGACATCTGCGTCCTGAGCACGGCCACAGTAACATTATCAAATCAGGTGTCGCCACCTCAAAAACAAATTTAACACGCGATCATTCATGTCGGCTCATTTCCTTTTATGTTTTCTGTCTTTTATTTGTGCCTGATGCGTTTCGCTGCTGTGGATCGGGGCGCATCACCTGTTTTGTCCTCCGGTGACGCACCTCACTGATGTGGCCGGCGAGCGCTCCGCTGTTTTTGCGGTCGGTAGATCTTTTAGAACTGCAGTTCAAAGGTAACTCATGAGGTGAATATATATGAACCCAGGTAGCAGTTTTTCTTTAGGATTGAGAGGAGATGCAGGAAGATAATAAACAGACAGGACAGAAAAATAGTCAAATAAAAACAAGTTCGCTTTTGTACCTGGTGGTTGCAACAAACAGACACCATTGAAGGTAATCAGAAGTGAGTAAGAGAAAATGAAATAATTATTTTAATGTTTAGAGCAGCAGGAACTCCGAGAGGCTGCAGGTGCACTGCGCAGGGGGAGGGGGGGGGAGAGCTGAAGTGGAGCAGTATAGATGCAGAAACTAGCGCTGTTACAAGAGATGCGTTTAACTTTGAAAACATGGGTGCAATTTTAATTGTCAAAAACTCCAGCGACCCCCCCCCCCCCCCCCCGGGTGTATGACGTCATCAACAACTAGTCAAAGTCGACTCAATTTTCATTACTTGACTGTCGACTTAAAAAAAATTAAGTCATGCAGCCCCTAGTGTGTGTGTGTGTGTGTGTGTGTACATGCCCATGTGTGTGTGTGTGTGTGTGTGTGTGTGTGTGTGTGTGTGTGTGTGTCTGTGGGTGTGTGTGTGTGTGTGTGTGTGTGTATGTGTATGTGTGTGTGTGGGGGGGGTGTATATGTGTGTGTGTGTGTATGTGTGTGTGTGTGTGTGTGTGTATGTGTGTGTGTGTATGTGTATGTGTGTGCATGCGTGTGTGTGTGTGTGTGTGTGTGTGTGTGTGTGTGTGTGTGTGTGTGTGTGTGTGTGTGTGAGAGAGAGAGAGAGAGAGAGAGAGAGAGAGAGAGAGAGAGAGAGAGAGAGAGAGAGAGAGAGAGAGAGGGTCTACAAACCCGTAAATGTGTCATAAATTCCCCATTTCAGTAGCTGAGCTGCCAGCTTCTCAATGTCCTTTCTCCAGGGTCCGGGTTTACTAAAATTTGCTGTATTTGCCTGTCATGCTTTTTCCATGAATCACAAAGTTTGCGTAGAAAGAGACTTACACAATTTTCAGACCCTGTTTTGTGTAACTAAGCATTATAAACGAGGCCTCGTTCATTTCTGAGGCCAACTTTCATTCTGAACATCCTTCATGTGTCTCAGTCCTGTTTGTAGTAAATGGCCTGTATTTGTATAGCATCTTCTTAGGGTTCCACAGCCCCTCAAGGCGCTTCACAACACATCACACCCTAGTGGAGGTGAGCTACGATGTGGCCACAGCTGCTCTGTGGCGCACTGACAGAGGCGTGGCTGCCGGACACAGACACCACCGGCCCCTCCGACCACCACCAGCAGGCAAAGTGATTTAAGTGTCTTGCTCAAGGACATAACAGCAGAATTCTCTGGTCAGAGCTGGGATCGAACCTGCAACCTTCTGATTACTGGACAACCCGCTCTACCTCCTGAGCTGCTGCTGTCCCTTAATGAGATTTGATTATGGTCTGAAGCAGTTCACTAATGTTTGTAGGAAACAGTCAGAGCTTGAAGCCGGTTGCTGTCGACCAGACATTTCTTTAATCAACTGCAAATGCTTGCAGGAATTCTGTGGATCTGCCTGTATTCTTGCAAAGGATACACTCCCTTTTCACAATGAGGAGTGCTAATTGTCCATGGGGAATGCTTCCCCCCCTTTCATCTTGTCAGAGCCGGGAGTCATGGAGAAGCAGAGCATGGTCCACTAATTTAGCCGTTTAATTCAACTCTAATCTGAAGTCAGCAAAAGATATGAAATTAGAAAAAACAAACACAGTTTTTCCTTTTATCACACCTGAAACAGGGAGATAAAGAAGAGCAAGGGGATTTGTTCCCCTCTCTTTACTAATCCAAATGACCAGTTACCAGTGTAGGGAAGGTTACTTTAAAAAGTAATTAGATATAGTTACTGATTACTTTGTCAAAAAAGTAACTCAGTTACTAACTGAATTATGAGATTATAAAAGTAACTAATGACCAAGAAAAATAACTACTTAGTTACTTTTTTCATCAAAGAATGCTAGAAAATGGGTTCCCCTCCTAATTGAACTTACTTAATTTACTATAAATGACTACAACAGAGAAATATAAATGACTAATGACTGGAACATAATAAAATGTATGTCCAAATGTATTTTATAAACCTCAATAATTTAAATAAATAAGCACTTAACAGGAGGAACTACTAGCAGGAGCATTACACTAATCTAGACTATTAAAAGGTCACTGTGTGATATTTAACAAGACCCCAGTCAGCTAAAATTTAAAATTACAAATAGAAACACCTGTAAAGGTTCCTGACCCTTTAAATGGTCTCTCAGTCTAGTTAAATTACAGAAATAAATGTAAATTTGAACAGTATTTTAATTTTTCCAGCTGCACATAACTGTGTGTTTTAGCCGCATTTCTGTTGCTGCTAATCTAGTAACGGTTAAATAAATAAATAAAATCCTTTAAAATGACACCAGAAGAGGCACAAGCCTGATGGAGGACTTACATTTACTAACGTGGGTCAGACCCAACCACAGAAGAGCTGAAGCTGGGTGGTGAACACACACAGGTAGTTCTAATAACACCTGAGCTCCATGCCGTCTGAGACTGATGCATCAGTGTTACAGCGGGACTAAAGACATGATCAGGAACAGGTTACAGCTGGATGATCTAGGAAGGTAGAAGATCAGGACGTCTGAGCGGTGAACAGGTGAGCGGACCTTCGGGACGTCCCGCTGTCACGCTAAGAAGGGCGTAGACTATTCATCACGTCTTCCTCGTTCTTCACAGCCGTGATGCTCTTGGAAGAAAACATCTGCCTCTTTAGCTCCTGATCAGCTGATGACAGCTTCAACACACCGCGCTGCTTCACGCACGCATTTCCTTATCAGTAACAGAAACGACGTTTTGATAAAAGATGACGGTAATTAATTAGTTTGCTCGTTACTGAACAAGTTATTTTTTTAGTAAAGCGGCTATTTTAAACTGTGTTATTTCCATCACTGCTCTGTTGTGTCTACAGCAGGCAGCGACAGTGAGAACACTGAGGGTCTCCGCCCACCCAGCCAATCATCATGGTGTTTGTAAGTGCGTTACCGACACCTCTCTCTCCCTGGCTGCAGCTGAAGTGTGGCGGTCAGAAAGCCTCACACTGTTGCTCAACGTTCGACAAGCACATAGTAACGCACAACCTTCCTTCCAGGACTCTAGAAGGCACTGTATCAAATACTGGCCATGTACAACTCAACATCCTTACGATCATACCCGCAGGCTTTAGGTACAAACAGTACTTTACCGTTTTATACAGGATTCAATCATATCACTGGACATCAGCTTCAGTCGGGTTTCCAGATGCGTGCCAAACTCTTCTTCTGGCCAGTGGAGGTCTCTGATGAAGGTCTGCAGAGCGTCCAGCTTCCAGAAGAGGTCCTCTGATATTGCCGAGCCGTTACTGCAGAAACACAAGTGAGAGTTGTATCTCCTCTCTTCAGTTTGAACACCAAGTTTTACAACAAAATGTAACTGAAGCTTTGATCAGGATGATAAAAGCTTCTCATGGTGGGATACGTTTTATTTTGTGAGAAGAAACCATTTGTTGTTTAATCACTGGGGAAAGTCCACATAAGGAGGATGACAACGCACACATTCCCATGTTTGTCGGCTTAGAGCCCTTCCATCAGTAAGAAACAGACTTAAAAAATACTTCACCCTGAACTGGTTCTATATGATAGTTCATATTCGGACAGATTGGAAACCATTCCATACAATATTCAACACAGCAACACGACACAACACAAAACACGAGATATACGCAACCAGAGGCCGGTTGATATATTCAACTCTTTCTATATCAGCCATCGGCTGCAAGTATTTTTACAGTGATAAACATCAGGAGCCTTTTTCTGTGTTTACACCTAAAGGAACGTTCCACCCCTAAGTACAGGGTTGTGTAGCGGAATGAAATGACTGTTTTCTGACCTAAAGGTCATGCTGCTCTGTTCAAGCTGGAGAGACACAGTCTCCCTCAACAACCTAATCTCAAGGTCTCATGCCTCTCATTCTAAACTGTTTCACTTCCTTTCGAGCTCAAGATCAAGACAGAAGACTCTACTCTTCTTTTTAATAAATAATTAAATGTCTGTTTGTCCAGTAAAATGACACATTCCTTTTGTCTCTCCAATCAGAGCTTTCCTTTCTGATGCGTGGCATGATCTGTGCAGTGTTTATTTTTTTGTCAAATTCTGATTCAACCATAAATCAAAACATCTAAATTATAAAACTAATTTCCACGTCACCCTTAACTCAGTTCAAACGTTCTAGAGTTGCTAGCCGGCTACTCGTAACTTTTTCACCACAAAGAACCTTGACCAGCTGGATTATAAATCCTGTTGCAAGCTACACCTGAATGAATGCTCCTTCAGAGTAAAAGCTGAACTCACTGACCCTTCAGGGTCCCGCTGACGCTGTTTTCCATCTATCGTACCGTACGCCGTTTCATCGGCTCTGGTACCAAATGGGGGTTCGAGGACCTGGCATTCTGGATCTACCATGGAGGTCTCCGCCAAGGGTATGTAGGGCGGCAAGATAGCGTCTAAATGTGATTTTTGAAACTCCGACCATAGTTCTCCGAAAACGAGAGTTCTGATAACAACATTCCACATTTACACCATCCATCTTGCCTCATTCACACCTAGATCCATTCATCACACAGAGTGTTTAGAGTTAGTTAGCCTTATTTTAAATTGTTTAGAAATAAATCTTCTTAAACCTTAAAACCTCTCTCTCTCTCTCTCTCTCTCTCTCTCTCTCTCTCTCTCTCTCTCTCTCTCTCTCTCTCTCTCTCTCTCTCTCTCTCTCTCTCTCTCTCTCTCTCTCTCTCTCTCTCTCTCTCTCTCTCTCTCTCTCTCTCTCTCTCTCTCTCTCTCTCTCTCTCTCTCTCTCTCTCTCTCTCTCTCTCTCTCTCTCTCTCTCTCTCTCTCTCTCTCTCTCTCTCTCTCTCTCTCTCTCTCTCTCTCTCTCGACTCTGGGTTAACACGAAGTGTTACCTAATCCCTGCCATAAAAAGTTCAGATCTTCTATTCAAAGATCCATCAAATTGATTTCATATTTTCTATGGAATCTCACATTTCATGGTTTATTACGTAGATGTAACTAACAAATCACTACAGTTGTCTGTTAGATTTCACAGAGTTAGGGTTAGGTGAGAAAAATGATTTTGTATGTGTAACATTTTGTAAGTGGTAACTTTTAATAATTTATCAATAGAAGGCTGCACAGTGATTAGAGCTGTTGCCTTGTAGCAAGAAGGTCCTGGGTTCGCTTCCCGGCCTGAGATCTTTCTGCATAGAGTTTGCATGTTCTCCCTGTGCATGTGTGGGTTCTCTGGGTACTCCAGCTTCCTTAGGTGTGAGTGTGTGTATGTGTGTGTGTGTGTGTGTGTGTGTGTGTGTGTGTGTGTGTGTGTGTGTGTGTGTGTGTGTGTGTGTGTGCATGATTGTTTGTCCTGTGTGTCTCTGTGTTGCCCTGCATTGGACTGGCTCTCTGTCAAGGGTGTACCCCACCTGATCGCCCGTTGACCGCTGGAGATAGGCACCAGCCCCCTCGCGACCCTGCGTGGACACAGCGGGTTCAGAAAATAGATGGATGGATGGAAATTATTAATGGAATATATAAGTATTCAATAAAATGTCATACTCCATAAAATATGGATTGAATATTATGAATATTATTGAGCCTTTAATATTGGGTTGGTGATGAAACTAGGTACTTTGGTTAATCCAGGGAAACAACACTTTATAATGATTTGACTCAGAGACAAAAATATAGTTTATAAAAATCTATTTATTACTATATTAATGAAGATGAAAGGCTAATGATTATGAATGGTGACACAGTGATTTTAAATGAGACAATGAATGAACTCTGATGAAACATGAACTGGGGCCTCATTTACCAAGCTTGCTTACGCGCAAAACGGGGTCGGAAAACTGCGTAAGCAACTTTCCACGCAAACTTTGGGATTTATGAAAGAAAACTTAGTGGAAAAATGTGCCCAACATTAAATTAACTAAGGAGCTGGCTTACGCACATTTTTGGACACGGAGAGCACCTGCAGTGCTGCTGCTGAGAAGGATTCAATTATCAATCAATCAATCAATCAATCAATCAAAGCTTTATTTATAAAGCGCCTTCCCAAGGCGCTGAACATGGTACATGAGAAAAGTGAAATATGATGAATAAATCGAAAATAAAAGCAATTCAAATATTACAAAAAAGGTAAAACATTATAGTAGAAGACAAATGGGTAAAACAAGGGATAATGAGACCAGTGAAAACAGGGAAATAAAATCAACATAAAAGAGGGCTGTAAGGAAAATGAAAGGTTCTTACATTTTATTTAATGAGCCGTAAGGCATGGGATTCCATAGTAAATATGAAATCCGCCTTACGGATCGGGGGTTATTTAAACCAGAAGATCTGATGTTTTTATTGCAGAGATTAGGTAACCGTTATGTATTCACTCAGAGACACAGAATAGAGAGAGTCAAGTTTAAAAGTTAAGAATTTTATTACTAACAATTAAACTAGCTTGACTTTAAACTAAATGTATAGTGTAACTAAAAATGAATGAGATGGTGAATGGATGACGTGTGATGTAATCAGAACCAGCAAATCCGGAGAAGCGATTAGTTCTGACAGGAACTGAAGATGTTGTTTTGAGATAAGCTTTGGTTAGTTTCAGAAACACATGAGACACCATCAAGTCGGGTCTACCTGCCTTGTGGAAGTCCTCTGTAGATCAGGAATGCCGAGGTCCAGCGGACCCTCTCTGGAAACCGAGCTGGTAGAAGAAGCCGCAGTTCCGTCCAGACCCGTCTTGAGCTACTACTTCCGGCACACGACACTTTTATTGGCATCTGTTCAGACCCAGCCTGGGTCGGTGGAGCTTTTATTCTGAAAGGAGCTGTTGTTGCCGCTGGTTGCTATAGCGACCAGATTTTTCAGCCTTTCTGGGTTCTTTCGGTTGAAGAGTTAAAGGTCGAATTGGCCACTCAGACGATTGCTCTGGAACGCTTTGAACTGGCGTTAGCGCTGACGTGGCGTAGTCTTATACCTCGGATGTTATGGTTTATTGTCGAATGAAAATTACCAAACACCGTCAGAAACACGCTTCCGTCAGATCCGTAAGATTCTGATTGGATCAGTGAAAGGAATGTGTTGTGTCCTTTTAACACTACGTGAAATGAGTCCTGTTGGAATCCTTAAAGTCACAGTACTTATTATTGATATTTTGTCGGTCACATCTTATTACATTGACTAACACTTTGATGGATTAGCTTTATTAAAATAGAGTTCTTTGATTAATTAAAAGAAAAGAGTTCATTTTTCGTTCTTCTGTCTTCATTGCTGGAACGTAAACAGTTTGGAAGCGAATGCATGATCTTGAGGCTGTTTCATGCACTCTGGCACTGTGTCAAAAGGAAACAGTTGTTAGAGGATAGAAATGGCTCCTTCATCACGTTACAGGGCCAAATTCAAACACGTTCAAGGAACGCCAAGCAGAGGAGGTGGGTTTTTAGGCGACTCTTAAAGACTGGCAGAGATGGGGACAGCCTAACTGAGGGTGGCAACTGGTTCCAGAGTGACGGTGCTAGGACTGAGCAAGCCTGGTCCCCGCGAGTACGACACCTAGAACAAGGGGCAGCAAGCAGGCCTTGGTCAGAGGAGCGCAGAGCGCGCGATGGGGAATGTCTGTTCAGGAATGTGGCTAGATAGGGGGGAGCACCACCCTGGAAGAAATTGTAAACAAAGACGAGGAGTTTAAAGTGTGAATGATAACAGACTGGAAGCCAGTGTAGGGAGGCCAGAACTGGACTGATGTGGTCCTGTTTCCTGGTCCCAGTCAGGAACTTGGCTGCACTGTTCTGCACAACCTGTAGGCGACGCAGTGATGACTGACACAACCCTGCATATAGAGAGTTGCAGTAGTCAAGTCTCGAAATTACGAAAGCATGGAGTACCCGCTCCAGGTGGGCTCTTGACAGCATAGGCTTGATTTTGCAAGGTGTCTCAGGTGAAAGAAACTGGACCGGATCACAGAGTTGATGTGAGCATCAAATTTAAGTCCAGTGTCAATTTTCACCCCCAGACTGGTAATAACTGGTTTTGAATAGGGAGAAAGAGGGCCAAGATCAACATAACGACCCACAGCCCTGCTGTTGGGGTGAAAAACAATGAGCTTTGTCTTTCCCTCAGTCAGATGTAGAACGTTGGCCATTAACCAAGACTTTACCTCATTAAGACAGGACACAAAGGACTGGATAGAATGACCTTTCTCCTGACACAATGGAGAGTAAATCTGGCAATCGTCAGCATAGAGATGGAATGATAGGCCATGTTTACAAAAGATTGACCCCAGAGGAAGCAGAAAAATTGCAAACAAAAGAGGAC